TGAAGAGCTGAAAGCTAAGATCGAAGACCTTGAGCAACGATTCAATAAAGTCGAGACGAAGAATCAAGAATTGAAAGCGCAGTTTAAGTTTGTGGAGCAAAATTGGATTCAGTTTGCAACGCAAAATGAAAATCTTCAGCAGAGAGTAAAAGTTCTTGGCAAAGAGTTTGATGGATATGATATGCAAATCAATGGACTGATAGCGACAGCGCAGGTAATCATAAAAGGAACGTGTGTACGAGTATGATTCTCGAACATCATGAAGAATTTTTTAGGTTGATAGATTTGAACTAAAATTGTCGGAACTTATTAAGTGAAGTGTCTGTATTGATATAGTGAATATAACAATTTTGTTTGCAAAATTAATTGTGTAGAATTATGTTAATTGGACAGGAACCAACAAACTCTAATTATCCCTTACTTTAAAGCGTATCGTACATTCCATAAACATATAATGACTTAGTAGAAACTCTAAGAGTACTGAATACGCATTGTTTTCATTTAAAATAAAATATGTTTTTTTTTATTTGGTCACTAGAATGCGTAGGATACAATATTCTTCGAATTATATCGAAGTCAAAAAACAATAGAGAAGTCCGACAATTTTGCATCTTTATGTTGGTTACCTATGATAGCCACAAAAAGCTTGAATCGTTTGTCTATTTCATTATTAGCTTGTGAAGTTTGACATCATTTCCGGTTAAACGATACTTATTTCTTTCAAGTTTCTTTATCATGTCTTATAGTATTGCTTCTGATTAAGCGATGGATTATCTCTAATTCATTTTTCGAAAAACATGCCTCTTCATCTGCGAAAAAATATTTTAAATACGAAAGCTGTTGAAAATTAACAAAATATTAGCATTCGTAAGAGAAAGCACTCGCCATGATGAGCACAAAACTTTTATAAAGTCGTTTAATGATCATATATAATTTAGTGAATACTCTAGATTCAAACAAGGTTCTTCCAAGTACTTGAAATTTTGCAGAGATTGAGAAAATATTAAATATGCATCATGAATGCAAAAGAACAGGGACCTAGAAAAGTCATGTTTGAGTTCTCATCGATTTTGGTTGGCTAATGGTTTACTAGATTTAGAACTTTACGAGGAGCTGTTAGGTGGCAAAATAAAGCTATTTTGAAAGTTTACAAATGTAGTTTTGTTATAAGTATCGACATTCAACTTTTTACTAGAAAAAGTATAGTTCAGAAACAGAAGAATCAAACATGTATGTTTTTCTCAAACGCACCGTTTCGTATAAAAACTATGCCAATTGACTGTCTGCTCTGTAGTCTATCTCAGGTAGAAATTGTAACTTGAACGGTTGAAGCGTTGCTGAGTAATGATCAATATCTCGAGAAAGGAAAAAACGACACGAGTTTTTGATTGATTCTGAAAGCTCGAATGAAGGACAACAAAACCAAATATTTTTGAACTTTTCATTAAAATCTTTATTAAATAGGACAGCCTGACTTTTGTTAAAACATCGTTTTTTGATATTTTTCACCAGTCTTCAAGAGATTTTCATTGAAACAAGTAGATTTTGAGTCAAAACTAATAGCATATTTGGAATCAGCATAAAATCGAATCAATCAATATGCGTTTCAAAAGTTTTGAATGTACTTTTCTTTTCTCGAAGAATTCAATAATGAATGTATTGTATATTAGTCAAAGAGAGATTTTTTGGTTAACTTACTGTTTTTAAAGCGTAAGGTTAGTTGTAAAGTACAAGAATTGCAATGAAAACAAAGTTTGTGCTTTTTGCCAAAACCGTTCAATTTGCTCTTGAATAAAAATATTTTGTTTCAATTCTTTTGCATTATTTGTATGATTATATGTATTTGTCTTTTTGTTTCATTTTAACAGCAAATCGTACGATACAGAAACGAATGATTCATCTCAACGCGTATAGCTTGTGTACACAAGAGACTTCATTCTATCGAAAAATATCCANTCATTGACTTTCAACTCAGAATTCTGAAACCTCTGGATATATCCGATTAAATATTTTAATTAAAATTAGAACTTCTTAGTTTATGAAGTAATTAGAAGTCATCTATTATATCAAACGCATTGCTCTTTCATACAATCTTGTTTATAGGGCAAAATCTAACTGATAAGTCTTTGCAATAAGACAAACAAGTTGAAATAAAGATTTTTTTTTGTTTGTACTCCCTCAATGTTTCAAACTTCGAATTGAATCCATATTCATATTTTATAATCATCTGTTCGTTACAAGTAATATGACATTTTATCACATTACATTTGAATGGAATTCTTTAAAACTAAACTCAAACTGCAAAAGAACATTAGTAAGAGAACATAACTTGAACTTCTTAGCATATTTATTCTTTAATATATCAGAAAAAGATAAAAGCTTATTTTTACAAAAAAATGAGTTTCATTTCCGACAGATGATAAATTAAAATGTTTCTCTTTACTGCTAAGTTTTATGAAAAACTAATTAATATACAGTACGGGTCAAAAAATATAAGATTGCTCTACTTTTTTTTTCTGCGTAGCAAGCATTTTACTCAAGCTTAAGTGTTGACTTGAATAGATAATGAAACTCTGTCAAATATATTCTATACGAAAATTTCCTAGATGGACTATGAGAGAGGAAAGTTTCTGAAAAACTAAGTAGAGAAGTTTTTAGGTTCCAGAAAACTGAAAATCACCTTTTTAGAGTATCATCATAAGTTTCCTTTTGTGGTATGAATAACTTTTTAATAGAAGATTGTAGAAAATGCGACAACTTCTCATCTGATTCAATTTTTTGTTTTTATTAAGAAGATACTATTAAAAACTAACCTTTATAATCTTCGGAGATCTGAAAACAGTCGCATTTGGTTTTACAGAAACTTTCCTCTCGTGGTTCATCTATAAAATTTCGGTATCGAATGTATTCGATGAAGAACTTCATTGGCAATTCAAATCACAATTTTCTTTTGAGTTAAATGCTTAGTATCGTAGAGAAATAATTCCAGCACACATTTTAGTAAATAGCTTCATATTTCCAATACATGCTATAGGATAGTATCAATCAACATTCATCAGTCGGCTTCTAAGTCTAGGATCTACGCAATAGATCATCATCAAGATTGTCTAAGAAATCTGTTAGTAGCAGAAAACAAATAAACGAGATTCGACTAAAAAATTGCATTGACATCAAGAATACGATTTGAGTTTGAATCTCACCGACTCCACGGATCAACACGCGTAACAAATATAATCATCGATGTTACAATAATTCTTTTCGAGGGCTTTAATTAAAACAGTCAGTACACTTACACAAAATATTTACGACTTCCATTATATTTTTCCGATTATTCTAAAACATTCTATAGAATCACTATAACTACAGATCAATATCAAAATTTGAAATAAATCTAAGCGTTATCTTTCTAGATATTATTTTATAAGATTAATTTTGAATTTTTCCACTGTCATATGTGGTGGAAAGGCTCCAAAAATATAACTTATTATCAGATTTTCAACACTTACAACGCTAGAGTAAACCATCCTATACAAAATCAGACGTGTTCAAGTTCTCTACGGCGTTATTTCTCTGAGATACAATAATATTGTAGAAAACTTAGAAACATTTTATTTTGTAGAGAATTATTTACTCTGAAGTTCTGTAATCTAAACAAAATTATGTTTTTGCGTTCTAGTTGTTGAAAAACTAAGACTTTCGTTTTCTCAAGTTCCTATCTTTGAGAATTTGATAATAATTTTTAATTTTCTATACTGTTTTCGGAAGTAAATTTTCTCCACTCAAATCACCATTTGGATTCTTCCTAGAGCTTAGGGCAGCGGAAAAAATTGGAAAACGCCTTGTTGAAGAATTTTGATACTCACTGTGTATACACATATAATGATTTAGATCATATTTTACTAGTGATTTAAATCACAAATGAAGGATTATCTATCCTCACTTTTCAAAATTTCACACTGGTTTTCCCTTGAGGTGATAGACCATAAAGAGTGCTTTCATTCTTCTAATTGTCGATTTTCAAGCAACCTAAATTCTTGGGAAAAATTGGCATTTTGGTCAAAACTTAATTTTGACAGTATTATTCTGAAAATACGTCAAGGTGTGTGTTTATAACTCAACATTATACATATCCAGAAAAAACTTGAGTTTGATTGGTTGAGATGTTTTTGAAATTTTTGAATCATCAATATATTCAGTTTCTACGAGAACTGCTATTTTAGGACTTTTAGAAAAAAAGTTCATTTAAAATCAACGGTTCAAGATTTTTTAAAACGGCTTTTGCCAATATTCGTGAAATTTTTCCCTCTATAAAATATTTTGAATTCAGCTAACGACGTAACTTCTTTAGCTGTCGCCTTCCTATCTCAATGATTTTTTTGTCTATAGATACAAATTAGTGTCCGAATAAAACCGATACAAGGATTTGGGCTCTATTGAGATTTGACTAAGTTATCGAATTTTTAACATGTCTATCTTCTAGAAGCCCCACGTTTTTGGAAAAAGTCATATTTTCGAATCCAACTTCCATAAAGAAATTCACAAGTTTTCAACAAAGTTTCTTCGCGATATTGGACTTTTAAAGAATACATATTGTATAGTGTCCACGGAAAAGGGTCTATATCTTCGTTTTTCGAAAATCTGGGATCTCTAGAAAATATGCACAATAAAAGTTCCATATTTTAGTAAAATTTCAATGGAAACCTACACCATTTTAGAATTTTCGGTGGAACACTATGTAGCAATTATAGGCAAAAGAAAAATCATTGAAATCGGGAGAGATCAGCTGATGATTTTTACTAAAACTATTGGACTAACATTTTTCTTACGAAAAAAAATTCTGCAGTCTTCTCTATCTGTAGGGGGAAAATGAACCTGACTAATTAAACCATCGTAAAGATACGGCCTTTTTTTCCATTGTAAAGATATTTTTGGCACACTTTGTATAACTAATCGCATGAATTTCAATTATTAGAAAGCAAAAAAAAATTGTTTTCTAAAATTTAATACATACGTAAAGATCTTCGATTGATCATATCAATAACTCTTCCTGGTGTTCCACTAACAATATGTTGTCCATAGTCAAGTTTACGCATATCTTCACCTGTACTTGTTCCACCAATGCAAGCATGACATTGTACATTCATAAAATCGCCGATAGCTAAAACAACTTTTTGAATTTGTTGTGCCAATTCACGTGTTGGTGATAAAACTAATGCTTGTGTTTCACGTATATTAGTATCTAATTTTTGTAACATAGCAATTGAAAATGTTGCTGTTTTACCAGTACCAGATTGTGCTTGTGCAATAACATCACGTCCTTTAACAATTGGACGTATACTACGTTGTTGAATAGCTGATGGTTTTTCAAATCCATATGAATAAATTCCACGAAGAAGATTTTCATTTAAATTCATAGCATCAAATGTTGGACATACTTCAACATCTTCACTTGTTTCAAAATCAACTGTATCTAAGTCATGACCTGTTTTAATTGTACGTTGACGTTTACTTGGTCGTTCTTGAATTGATGACATGTTAATAAATGCAAGCACAATACTTATCAATTGACAATATGAACGACGGAATAAAATGAAGATAGTAAACAAATGAAACAATTTTTTTTTCTATTGGTTATTTATAATGAACAAAGAATAAATAGAAATTAGTAAACAAAGAAAATTATTTAAAAGAAAAATAACTTTTTTTTTGTATTAATTTTTCTTTTTAAAATATTTAAACGGTAGTTTTTTTCTCTCGTTAATTAAAACTAAACTGACATCTATGCATATTTGATTAGTTATCATTAATAACAAATAATAGTCAAGGCGTATGTCTATATTGCAAAAAAAAATCTTCTTTTTTCTAAAATAATGTTAAAAATAATCGAACAGAAGTTTCTTAAGTAAAAATAATCTTATCTAAATAAGAATTTTTTAGTTCTTAAAACATTTTTTGTATTGAAATTAATTATCTTTTTACTTGTTTATTTTTATTTAATTGATATTTTTCTAGATGTATATCAGCCGTAATGTTTTTATTTCATGATTTAATTTCTACAGTAAATTAAGTAAGTACTCGCAATGAAATTTCTATTATAAATTAAGAAGTATTTCGTATTTTTTTTAGTTTATAGATTCATAGAATAACAAATTTTGAATTAGTTTTATAAAGATCTTAGTAAGTCATAGGTGTTACACACTTCTTTGTACCTTCAAAAAAAAGCTTTAAAAAAGAAAGTGTAGAAGTATTAGAAAAATTCTGTAGAGAAAAAAAATTATGCAAGAAATAACGAATAAAATGAATGAGTTTTGTCACTCCGATGGAATAAGAAATGAGTCGAAAGCTTTGATACAAAGTGTTGGTTTAATTTTTTTGCTAATAGTTAACCACTGAAACTTTCAAAACCGAATTGTTGTCTCATAAGAATTTTCGAATGAATTGATCAAAGTCATCGTGCGAAAGTTTTATCTTACTTAAAATTAGCATTTGCTTTTCAACAGATACGCTTAATGAGAGAACAATATCTAAGTGATTTTTAACAAAGTTCGAACAAGAGGTAACTGCGACATTAGCCTTTCGAATGAGAGCTTTGATAAAAATATTTGTGCTAACATGGTTGATATAAGATGATCGCAATAGTAAGATTATGTCTAAAATCATAACTCTAGTACACATATATATCAATGAAGGACGAGTTGATGTTTGCAATCAGGGTTTATCATCGCATGAATGCATTGAAAACATGAATACAATATCATAAAAAAATAGTAGCATTTCCTAGACTGGACAGCTACTTTTGTCCAGGACTGTAAAGAATCAGTCGAGCGTCTTATCTCACGACGGAACATTTTCAATCGATGAATCACTTTTGAATGCGTACTTTATACATTAGGTAGACTCTTGTGAGATATAAAAAATCTCAAAAACATGAATTCCTTTAGATCTTGTGTCCAAAATAATAGGAATTTTACTGAAATGCCTATAACTCTCAATAGAAGGTCTAAAAGGACTTATCCTTTTCCGATTTTTCATAGCTCATGAGAGTGTACTTTATGTACAGTGCTCGAATTCAAAAATAATTTATCATTTGAAAACGCCCCGTCGTCATCCTAATACCTTCCATTGAAAAATATGATGTATGATAAGATTTATAGAAAAGTTCAGGAAACTGCAGACTAACTTATAAATATTTCTCTTATAGAATGTCATCGGATTCTATTCAAATTGAAAATACTTCTACAACTAAAGATTTATGTTCATCATCAAATATAGATTTAGATGAATTATATTCGTCATCTCGTTCTTCATCGATTGATTTTTCTTCATCATGTTTATCAAATAAAGATTTTTTCGAAAGTGAAGAATTATCCATCAATAATCGTAAAGAATCTACAATAAAACTTCCATATCCAGTTATATCTGATCATCGTGATCCATCATCTGTACTTGCACTTTTACAAAAAGAAACACAAACAACATCAAAAAAAATTCTTGATGTTATTCAACAAATTGAAAATTGTGAAAAACATTTAACATCAAATAATCAATTAGATAAAAATAAAAAATCTCTTAAAAATGAACGTGTTAAATTAAAACAACAATTAGATGCATTAAAAAAACATGAACGTCGAATTAATTTACAAATTGACTTTATCACAACAAAAGTTGAAATTAAAGCTTTAGAAGATGAACGAAAACAACTTATGAATGAGAAAAATTTTGATGAAAATAAACAAATTAATGTTTTATTAGGAAAATTAAAACAAAAATTAGATAAAATGAAAATTTATATGAGAACAAGAAATGAACAAATGAAAAAAATTGTTCATGGAAAACAACGATCATCTACATGTATGTTTCAATATATTAAAATAAAAAACAAAAAAAGTACTTTTTATAACTACATTGTATTTTTTTTTCTTTTCATAGCAAATGATAATCGACAAAAATTATCAACTAGTCAAAAACCACAACAACATCATCATCTAACTTCATCAGATTTGGTAAAATTTTACTATGTAAAAAATACAATAGTGTTTTTGTAATTGAGAAGACTTTCAATTTTTATTCGTAAAGTTAAAGCTCATAAATACTCTTAAAAACTATAACTTTCGAATCCAATATATTAAAAAACTGCTTTTTTTTCGCGAATTTCGACTAACAAAAGGCAGAATATCCTGCTACATTGCTTCAATATTTTCGTTATTCTGAGCTATTCAACAAGAAACTACCTTTCTGTTTATTGAAACTTCCAAAAACAAGTGACTTATTAATGTGCTAGATCCAAAAGTTACAATTTTCAAGGATATTGATGAACTTAGCTTTTATGCATAGAAGCTTGAAAGTGTATTCTATTATCACAAAAAAGTCACTAGATTTCGTTTGACCACAATAGAAATCATAATATCATTTTTGGTAGATGACTTTCCAGAACCTCGATATGTGTAATTCAAAATTTTACAATCTATCGAGCTGAAACGTTTTTGTCTGCTATTTGAAAAGTTATTTTCATCTCTATGAGACGTTTTGTGGCTGAAAAGGATGACAGGAGGTATCAGTTTTAGCTCTCATAATTTCGAAAATAGAGGAAACAATCTTTTTTAGTACGAAGAGTTAATGACATAAAAAGAAAACCAAGAATCTAAATTAATAGAAGAAGTTTTTAAATCTAACATTGATCGCTTAATATCATTGTCAATAACAAAAACTAATTGTATTTTAGAATCAAAAACGTTCATTATCATCATCATCTACAAATAATTCTCATGCAAATAAACGTCTAAAATCGACAAATCATAATCAAATAAAAGTACCCCTTGTTCGTCTTACATCGCGTTTAACAAGTCATCAATCTCAATCTCATTCAATACGAACACCAACAGTAAGATTTCTAAATAAAACAACTGGTTCATCAATGACAACACTTAATTCTTCATCACCAACAACACCAGCATCATCATCATCAACTTTATCACCACCTTTAATAGCAAGTACAAGTATGGGTGATGCAAATAATATTCCAAATTCTCGACAAGTAACAAAAAAAGAAACGATTCTTTATTGACAAAAAAATTATTTTAGATTGAAATTCCTTCAATTGATGAAGACGATGAACTTGATCTTGAACTTGATATAGATGAATTATTTGATGATGATCCATATTGTGAAGAAAACATACAGGGATTCAAATCTGAAACACGACAAATTAAAATCAATCCGGATATTTCGAAAAAAGAATCTTAATAGAAATGTATATATATATAATCGTTTGGATTTTTGTTTTTTTTTTCTTTTGTATATGTATTCAAATCTCGTTTTTTCTTTTTGATTATGCCCGGTCCGTGTTTTTTTCTTTTACTATCTTGTCATGATGTTAATCTTGTTTCTACATTGTTTCTGTCACTTGTAGCTTGCAAAAGAAGTAAAAACATTAATTTTTTTTTCATTCTTTGTGCTTGTTTTTCTAGATTTTAAAAAAGAAGAAAATCATGACTGATCCGCCAGCATCAACTAAAAAAACGGCACGTACATTTGATTTACAAGCAATGATGAATCAAGCACGATTAGGTGCTCAAGAACGAACAAAAATTGATTGGTCAAATGAAATTGAAAAAGCTAAAGAAGAAAATGAATTACGCATCAATGAAATGAAAATAAAAGCTGATGAAGCTGCTAAAAAATTGCAAATATCAACAAACAATGACAATATTAATGATGACGACGATGATGATTTTGGTCCATCAATTGATCTTGCTACTGCACCAACTGCTGATAATGAAGATACTAGTAGCGATGATGAAGACAACAATTCATCAAAGGTAAAAGAAAATTTTATTCTTTCTTCACTCTAAATTGTAGAGCATTTGCGCACATTCACAATGAACTACAGTAGTAATAGTAGCAATACCCAATACTATAGATGGAATCGGTTACCTGGGTGTCTTATTTTTTTCTCTTATTATTTCATAGAGGATGTGCAATGAAACTTTATTGAAAATTGACAACGTTATTTTATCACTATCAACAGATGTAATAGTACTTGATCGTGAAAAATCGAGACCGGTTCGATTTCTGCCTAATAATTTTTGATGTCGGCTGAGATAGAGAAAAACATGCAAAAATAAGAAACGAGAAAAGTGGCTTTCAGTTTTTGTAGCGTCGGTTAATTGCACTCATCGTTAGGTTTTATATTGGAATGTGAGGTATGTTCAGATTTTCGAAATTTTCTTTTTTTTTTGAAAATCTGAACACTGCTGATTAACGATTATTTTGTTTTCTTTTCTAAAAACATTAATCCATGCAGAAAATCTTGATAAATATGCTGTCTTATTGGTTTTAGACAATACAATTAAAGAGCATACTTAAGTTATTGAAAGGCAATTGAGATAAAGCATGTAATTTTCTATGAAAAGGTTCATTTAATTATTAAAAATGATCTGTTTGCAACAGAACATATTAAAAATTGAAAGATTTATCCATCGACAATAAGTCTTTATTGTCATTTACTAATGAACATTAATAACAGATAGTTTTTATCATTGATCAAGAATTTGATTTTCAGTCCTTGGTCAGTAGACACAACATAATCTGACAAGATTATAATTATAATAGATTATTGAAATGAAATTTAATAAGATACAATCATAATAAATCTCTTAAATAAAATAATTATTTTTCAATTTTAGCCAATTGAAGAAGATGATGATCGACTTGACGATGATGAACAACCATTTTTTCCTTTAACACATGAAATTGATCTTAAACATGGAACAAAATCAGTTTCATGTTTAACAACTGATTCAAATGGTGAACGTCTAATCTCAGGTGGTTTTGATTATGAACTTAAAATGTGGGACTTTCCAACAATGGATAAAACATTACAATATTCTCGAGCAATATCTCCATGTGAATCTCATCAATTACGTTCAATTGAATTTAGTCCTGGAAGTGATATGTTATTAATTGCAAGTGGTAGTTGTCAAGCAAAAGTTATTAGTCGAGATGGTAAAATAAGAAATAAAAATTTTTATCTAACAATAATGTCTTTTGTGGAACTCACATTATATTTTTCTGCGAAAAATATAAGGAGTATAAATTTTAAGTTAAGATTTTACAGGCCCCACTTCATGGCAACGAAGACGGACGGAAAAAAGATCAACGGTCACTAGATATATTTCCATAGGAACCGAGAACAACAGGCGTCAGCATTCTCTTTCATAGTCTCTTAGCCACGAAAAAAGGCGCTGAACAGCATAAACAACAAGATTTAATCCATTCTAGAGTACTTCAAAGCGTACGTTTGCAAATGTTCTAAATAATTCAGTATTTGATTTTTGCGCACGTAAAAATTTATATTTAAAATGTCAAGACTGATGGAGAGTGAATGCATTGATTTACCACAGTCGTTACATGATTAGAGCCCATTGGGCGAGGTCCAGGTCCGAAAATTTTGGACTCGACGGGCTCTATATATGATCAACATAAAGAACATGAACTGATTAAGTGTTATAACTTGGGAAAATAATCAATAGCAGCGTTTCTTAGTTTATCAAGATATACAATAGTGTATTGAGATCTGCTGTAGATATAATGGATATTTATAACAGACATCTTTGCCAGTTAAACCAATGGTTGAAATAATAATAATGATAAGTTAAGAAAAAACGGAATACGAAAAAGAAAAACAACAAGGCAAATAAAATAGAGGGTCGATACAAAGAGAAAAAACTTCTCTTAGAATTGTAGAAATAAATAGGACAGATCGTTTCTCTGGCGACCGTTAAGCTTAAATGTGTTGCACTAGTGTCCTGCAACTATATAATACTTGTGGGTTCCACATTTTCATTCTAAAGAAATTGAACTGATAAACTTTTTTTTATTTTAGGAAAAAATATGTACGAATGTGTTCGAGGTGATATGTATTTAATTGATATGCAAAAGACAAAAGGACATGTTAGTACATTGAATCGTGCATGTTGGAATCCAAAAGATTTAAATGTAAGTAAAAATTTTCATTTGTCAAAACAAAAGAAACTACTAATATTATATTCATAGGAATTTATGACATGTTCTGATGATGGTACTGTTCGTTTATGGTCTTTAATTCGTCGCACTGAGCATGTTTCATGTATAAAAACAAAATCTGAACAAGGTAAAAAAACGTCAACAACAACATGTACATATAATACTTATCATACACATGTTGCACAAAATGAGTATTTAATAACAGCTGGTTGTGATGATGGAAGTATACAAATTTGGGATCGACGTCGACCATTTGTTAATGTTACATTTATATCAAGACGTGCACATGAACCAGAAAATGCTATAACATCATTATGTTGGTCATATGATGGAAGAAATTTAGCATCACGATCAACTGATCATACACTTAAATTATGGGATATAAGAAATTTTAAACAACCACTTTCGGAATATAATGATTTACATAATCGATTTTCAATGACAAATATAACTTTTTCACCTGATGATCGTTTTCTAATTACTGGTACATCAACACGAAAGAAAACAAATGATAATATGAATGATCCAACAAATGTTGGTGCTATTTATTTTTTTAATCGAAATAATCTTGCACAACCTGAAGGACAAATACAAGTTAGTGAAACAGCAAGTGTTATTAAAACATTATGGCATTCAAAACTTAATCAAATTATGTGTACAACAAGTAATGGTATTATTAAAATATTTTATGATACAATACGTTCAAAACAAGGAGCTTTATTATTTGCTAATCGTGAAGAACGACAAAAGAAAGCAAATGATTTTTTTATTAATATGAATATTATTAATCCACATGCTTTACCATTATATAGACAAGATAGAGTTAGAAATTTATCTGTTATACGAATGAAAAATCGAGAAGATCCAGTATGTAAATATTTCTTTTTTTTTCAAACATGAGAAAATATACTCAAATAAGGAATAGTCATGATTGAGTGCCTAAGTTGTTCGATACAAATATGGAACCGGTCTATTGTTTTGACGACCGGTACCAGTTCCATCTCTAGTGACATACATCTGCTCTTGTGGCTAGTTCGTGTGTATGAAGGGCGTAAGAACTCAGCATCCTATTTATATGACTTCATGAAACGCACTACTAAATATAAAAAATTCATAATTATTACAATGAATAAACATGATCATGATTCCCTAAATTCCAACATACTAGGACGAGTCATTTTATAGAGAAATCTTATGTAAATTTTAGACAGTTTGAAAAATCTAATGATATAAATGTGTATTGAAAATATCATATGTTTTTCTTGTTTAGGTCAAATCAAAACGACCAGATTTGCCTGTCAGTGGTGCTGGTTCTGGTGGCCGTATTGGTGTACATGGTGGTACATTATCATCATATATTGTTAAAAACATTGCTTTACAAAAACCACCAGCTCAAAAAGAAGATTCTCGTGCTATTTTACTTAGTTATCAAGAAAAATGTGAACAAAATCCGTATTGGGTAGCACCAGCTTATTCAAAAAGTCAACCAAAAGCGATTTTTCAATCATCTACTCAAGATACAAATCAGAAGAAAGAAGAAGATGATGATGATGATATTGCACCACTTTGGAAAAAACAAAAGACATAATTGTTTTTTTTTTCTGTGTGTGTGTGTATTTGTTTAACAGTTCGTTTTGTAAAAAATAATCTATGAATACATGATAAACCTGTTGTAATTACAGTCTGATATGGATTATCTATTAAAATCTGTTTATTTGATTCAAAACTTATTTTAGTTATATACGAATTCTGGTAGCAATGAATAAATATGTTGATTAAAGCCATCGACATATTAGAAGACCCCCTCTGAAAATCTATTTTTTTTTCAAATAATTTTTGCAGCTTGTTGATTTTTTTAGTATTTATGACCACTGTCTTAATACATAAGTTCAGTAAGAACAATATTAGCTGATGTCGTTTTAACGATCTATCAGTTCCGAGTTAGAAAAATCATGTGAAACAGCTAATATGAAAGAGCAATTTATTAAAAAATTCGTTTCTTTATTGAAAACATGTCGTGAAGTCATTTCAGTACTCTTTTGCAGCATACTCTGAAGAAATTCTTTAGGCTTTCTATGCAAAGAAAACGTTCCTGTGGTCATAGGATCTAATTAACGCAGTGCGTATTCGCACAGAGCACACATAAGGAGATCATTCTAAAATAAGAACATACTCAGTAAAATCACGTTGTGTATTAAATAAAGATTTGTACGCCTTTGTACTTTCTTCTAGAAGTTCAGACACTTTTTTATCGTTAAAGACATCACTTCTAATTGAGAACAGTATGTCTTCGGACACACACGCCAATATGTGTTCCATTCTGAGAACGCATTTCTTTTCGCAAAAAGATGCAAAGGTATTCGAAACAGACACGAAAACTCCAAGAAACACTGAATGTGTATTTAACTGCTGTTTTTTTTTTATCAACTGTTTCTTCATAGACCACCACATTAATTCAAATTAGCTGGGGACTAATAATTATGCTAATGGTACATTTCTCTGCGAACCAATTTTGTTTATACTAGTCCAATCTCAGTATAAACGATTGACTTTTAATAAATTTGACAACAAATTTTTAATTTTCCTTCTTTTATTTACTTAGCCATTGAGAAGGTTAAATATTATCAGTAATAGATCTAATTCTTTTGAAAAAAATAGTGCTATTGTACATTATACCAAGACATTAGGCATGCTAACTGTATTGTTCTAAAAACGCTTTTCTTACCAATAATTGTTTCCCTTTTCTTCACAGGGTATTGTCTGTTTTTTCTCCATTTTGAGAGCGTGATGTATATGAAATAAACTCGCTTCCTGACGATGTATTAGGCAAAAATGAATTGAAACTAAGAATTGTCGGCGAGACTACCAAAAAATATGACATTTTTTAAGGACATAATAGAAGACTCCCTTGTAAGTTGTGAACGATTAGACAGAGTAGAAGACTCTGGACCTTCTAATATATCGATGGTTTTATCTTTTCTTTCATAGAATATTAACTACATTCATTAATGAAATGTTCTTTGTAATATAATCAATCAAATGTAAAATAATAAACAAAAAATACGACATCATCAAATAAAATCTAAACTATTCATTTCTTTTGATTTGTACTTGCTAAATATTCTCTATGAGACTGTGTGGCGTTCATTTTTTTTAATTTTTATTTTTATCATACCTCATTAGATCGATATGAAACGAATGTTTCCGCTTTGATAGACGGAAAATTTTTAGACCTAGATATAATGAGGTGTAACAAAAAAAGAAACAGGAAGTATTCCTAAAATCTTTTCCATCATAGGAAAAAAAACGATTTACAATGAATACGTGTTTCAATTAAAAGAGACACGACAATTACTTTCTTTAATCTATTATAATATTATAACATATATATATATATATATCTTAGTCACATACAAGTCCACTTCTTCTAGTTCTCTTAATTGGATCGTGAGCAATCCCTTTTTATAACTACATCATTTATATAAATATATATATAGAGATACAGAAACAACTGCAAATGAGGTATGTAGTATTTGTTTGTCTTTGATGAAAAAATATACTACTATGTAAACAAACTATTGTAATGTCGTCGATAACATTGCCACGACGTGTTCAGAATATCAATTTAATTGATAGAAATTCAAATAATATTAATGGTGAAGAAACAAAAAATATAACTGTTGGTAGTTATCCATCAGATAATTATGGACGTTATTTTCAACGATCAACACCAAATCAACTAATGAAAACTACTCGAGCTTTATCATATAATGAAGACAATATTCAGTTACAATCAAATCCCAACATTATGAATAATAATAATAATAATAATAATAATAATAATAATAATCGATTAAAACATTTATGCACACGATTTATACGTCGTTTTAGTATAAGCAGAGAACATCGTGCACGTAGTGAAGATATGAGTAGAGGTTTATCAATACGTTTTAGTAATTATAAATCATTTTCATCTTCAACTGATGATTCATGTAATGATTTTGAATGGCCAGATTTTGAAAAAATTTATGATACAATTCCATCATGTCTTGCAAAAACTCTACCCGGTCTTGATGATTTTTCAATTGATGAAGAAGAAGAAGAAGAAGAAGAAGAAGATGATGATGATGATGATGGTTCAACAAATTCAATAGGTTTCATTATTGATGAAACAAATGAACAATCAGATTTATTTGAAAATTGTGAACGTGGAAAACATTTTCGACGAAATGCTTTATGTCATAAACTTGATAAAAGTCAATATCATGGACAATTGGATACATTTATACAACAATTATTAATTGAAAAATTAATGAGAACATGGACTTAAATGAACAATTTTTTTTTCCGTATTTATGTAAATAGAATTATATGTACATATATTGAGTAAAATATGAAGAAATAAAATATTGATTAATCTAGCTTAGATAGATTACCAATAATTAACATTCTACAATCCAAAGTATTCGAAAGCAAAGTTTGCCAGAGATGTGTCATGCATAAAAAACGAGACTGAGGCGGCATGCAAAGCGCTCGTATTTTTAAAATAACGGTCATCTCCAGAAAGCTTTTTTTGGCGAATATGCAGAACAGTAATTGGAGACATTTTTTTCATCTGTTTTTTTTTCATATCATTAATGTTGTAATATGTCTTTAAAGACATTCTTGTCTCAATTTTAAGCTATTCTGTCATTAAATGTCTAAATTTAGCTTTAAGATGAATTTAAATATAATGTTTGTTAAAGTGAAATTCAATAAGTTTTCAATTAGATCAACTTACAATCAGGATAATTTCTAATTAATATTGATTACGATTTGATTTTTATAAATTCAATAAATATTTATCAAAAACAGGTAATAAAACAAACAATATCTCATAAAGAATAAATCTGGCAATGATTGGTTTTCACAGTTTGATATGCATTCTTTTATTAAAAAAGAACCCGGGAAATAGAGTTTAATTGCAGTTATGATAAAGGCCTGGCCGCTGGGTGAACATATAAAAAGACACTTAAGCATGATGAACATGTCTAATGTCGGCAAAAGAACAAAGCATTGATGTAGGGTAGAAAAATATACCACTGGTTAATTATTACAAGACTTATGACATTTCCATCAAAATGAAGTCCAATTATTATTTATCATCAAAAGTAATAACAAGAAAATTGATTATTTGCTAAAACGAATGTTCAAAAAATTAAAACTATAATTATCAAATGTTCGTCATTATTTTAGACTACTTTTGAAGAGAAGTCACTTGAGACAAAATATGGTTTTTTTTTTCCTCGGAGTAGTTCCATTTGTTATATATATCGTTATCAGAATAAAAGCGAGATATATAAAGAATAGTCGTTCGAGGTTTTTGAGTGGAATGGTAATTATACTTTGTACAGGTTTTATCTATTCTTGAATAAATAAGTTGCATATTATTTCAACATTAAGTATTTGTATGAAAAAATATATCTGGTGAAAATTATTATACACATTCTTGATTATTCGAAGCTGGTTGGGATAGTGGCACCGATCAGGATAACAATGATTACATGAGGGATTGTATAAAAATGATAAAATAACACTAGTATAGAAAATTTTATTGATGATACTTATGCTAAAGAATGTTGAAATAATTTAAAGTGTCATGAGATTCTTCATATCGTCGATATATCAAATAGAAAAGTACAAAATTGAGAAATTAAATGATAAAGAAAAGAAAATTTTAGATCTATCTCTTTATCAGGATAATTACTAGTTGACTATCAGTCAGGATGTGGAATGTCAATCATGATCAAAACGAAAAAGCAGATCATTTATAAAGATTTCATCATTTATTTACTTTGATGAAATGAATACCATCGCATAAAATGTATCGATTGTGAATACAAAAAAATAAATTGTTAATTATATGAAAAATAATAATATAAATTTTGCGGTAATAAAGAAAATTCTGTTGTATTTTATATTTCTTATATTTATTTATTTTTTAAATAAATATATTAAATATTATGAGCTTTTCTAATCTTGAATATCGATCATCATTAGCATATTGTTGAAATATGATGAATCAATCAGCTAAAGACATCAGAAGCGAAGACTATTATATTAATAATAATGTTCATTTAATTATAAAACTTTAGTTCAATATATATTCATTTATAGTATATTGATTACATGACTAAAAAGAACATGATGATCGGATTCAGTACTAGTGCTCCGGTGCGTTCATGTATCGTAAATAATAAAAAAACAGTAATTTTTTTTATACAATAATGTTTACTGTTCATGTAGATTTTGCGATTGATCTAAATTTCGAATTTTTTTTAAAATAAACACTTCCTGTTGAAGTTTGTTGCAAAATCACCGATTAATCGTCAAAATTGAGTCAACTTTGACGGCATGAGTTTATTTTTGAATTCATAAAATGAGAAAAGATTTTTCTTTATTACTGCGAAATTTATAATGTTATTAAATTTTCATATAATTATAAAATCTCAAATTAACATATGTTCATTAAAATTATTAAGTGCTCTTTAATTCAAAACAAGTCTTTGAAGAGAGCTGTTTCTTTTTAAAGAATATTTATTTTGTTTCTGGAAAATGTCTGGATATTTCTTTACATTGTTTTATTTAATTTCACATGAGATATTCATCAGATAATCATGTTTTTGTTTTTACCAATGAATTAGTGTTTATCGCTTAGTTTAGACAGTACATTTTAGCCATTTGGAAAATTTCTCTTTGATATGAATTTATTATTTCTTGCTGAAATATATCAATATTTCGAATGCATTTTATTTCTGTGTAGTTTTACAAAAATCTTCTTTTTAGTCTTGCACAAGAGCTTTTGTATTTGTGGCATTTTCAATTGACGTCTTCTGTCAGGTAGAGAAGTCAGATCAACAGAATTAGAAATAAAATTAAGATTTCGATTAAAAATAGATGCGATCATGAACAATTTATATCAACTTTAAAATTATATTTCTATCGTTCAAGATGTTCTGAAATTGAGCAGATAACAATTAAGAGAGTTCTGCTCGATTTTGATTTTTCTCTCTGACGTTAACATTAGATTTCATCGAATCTAAAAAACGAAGTTCAGACTTTGTCAAAATTTATGATTTTTAGAAGAAAATCCAACTCATGCAGTAACCTATTTTAATTGTTCAAAGAAATCAAACGATAGCATCAGATACAGTATTCAAAATTGACCATACTTGACATGAGTCTGCCAGTTGTCAATACTATAGGTACTTTACTTTTGAATTGAAGTTCCAGGAATTGGTTGGAATTGACATATCCATAGCCAAAGATAACACATGTCGAATATTCAGAGTTGTAACTTTCGTCAGTAATTTATATCAGCAGTAATCAAATTTGAATGCTTCAGTTTAATTTTCTTTAATAGTGAAAATAGATTACGAAATTGGTCGAATTTTCTCGTAAAACTCATAAGTTTCAACCAACTCAGAAACTCATTTTTTAATATTCAGTACAATTTAATGATAGCTCTGAGTAGAACAATCAAAATTAACGAGAGAATCTTTCCAGGTATCAAACCACTTTTCGATCGAAACAATGTTCATTTGATCAGTATTAGTGAGTAATAGAAAAGACTAGAATGATTCGATCTTCTAAGACTCCGTTCTTGAGATATCGAAATTTCAATGAATTCTTCGTATCCCAGAAGTCACCTATATAATCGAGTTCCGACTTTAAAATTTGTGCGAAAGAAATTCTCACTGGAATTAGTTCATTGAGAAAATTGTAACTTTTCTAGTTTCTTCTATTCTGAAATGTTGAATTTTCGAAATTCTCTCATGGGTGAAAAGCAAATTCTGTTCAAATACTTATTTATATCTCCAGAAAGGAGATCCAAGTTGCACGATCAATTAATCTCACCAAAAACTTTGTTAGTGTAAAATTTGAAGTCGAAAATCAATTTTCCACGTGGTCTGGCGGAAATTCATAGCTTTTTAACATTTTGATATCTCAAGAAACCAAATCATTCTAGACTTTACTATTATTCTCTAGTACTCATCATATAAACATAGTCTCGGTCGAAATGTAATTTAAAACCTGGAAAGCTTCCTGCATAAGAAGAACTGTTATTTAAAAACAATTAATAGGGAAATGAACTTTTTGAAGCTATGGTCTATGAATTAATGTAACTCGTATGTAACATTCATATAATATGTAGAGAACGAATCAAATTTTGTTAAAAACGTACTTTGACCCGTTTCACATGGTATGAAAGATAAGGAAACAAACAGAGACTTACATTTTAAAATTGTAATATGAATGTTCGAGAAGAGTTTTAATTTTACAAACATCTTTAAAATAATTTGAAAAAATATTAGAATTCATTTTCGTTCGAAAAACTGATTTATTCAACATTAATTAATTTTCATAATTTTGTTATTGTTGTTGTTTAACACAACTTTCATGGAAAAATTTATTAACCTTAGGAATAGGACTTCGAACATTTATTCATTGTTTTTTAATTTTAGATAGCAAAAATGGTTAAATCAGTTATATCTGTTGGTCAAAAAAGGACCTCATCATTTTATGGTAGTTTACTTTGTACTCTAGTAATCATACTTTCGAGCTTTACTATACAAATGCGTGATATTCCACCATTAAAAGATTATATGCCGAAACAAATTTCATCAACAAAACCATATGGAACATTTGAAGAATTTTATCCATATTATCTACATGAACATTCTCAAAAAACGACACGTCAATTTCATTATATTGGTACAATTCTATTTCTTCTTTATATTCTAACAAAACCTATTCTTTTAATACCAATGATTGCAGGTGGTTTAGCTGCTTATTCAATAATTCCATTTGCTCGTCATTTATCCACTGGTTTATCTGAAGTAATTTTATTTCTGATAATTTATTTTACTGGTGGTAAACTTCTAACACATTCATTTATAAAAACATTTATTCCACTTCTATTGGGTTATGGTTTCTCTTGGATTGGACATTTTGCTTTTGAACTTAATAAACCAGCTGCATTTGTTTATCCAACTTACAGTTTCTTTGGTGATATGCATATGATGTATGATGCAGTTAAAGGATAATTTTCTTTTTTTTTTTAAAGATTTTGTTCGATTAGATAACTATTCTTTATTCGAAAAGCCATCTATACTGTTTTGTAGAGCAACTCGTCATTACATATAAGAAGTTACTTGTTCATCAAGTCTTAATATTCTATGAAGACATATCAGTTAAGGGATTGTGTGCCACCAAGCTCTTTTGTTATACCCATTGGTTGTTCTCTGAGTGTTGATATAATTTGATTTGGAAACATATTGAGCCCTAATATTTGGTCATATCACTCACAATTACCATACTGTCCTTTAATCGGTAATAGCGCCACAAGTTTCTCTACAAAACGATATGGTAGCTTTTCAAATGAAGATTAATTGTCTTATTCGACATTGTCCTTATATGATTAAGTAGCAGTTAAAATTTCATTTCGATTCGTATACATGTATTTTTTCAATAAGAAAAGAAAAAACAAACAGCTACAATCAAAAAACTGACACTAAATGCTTTGTAATATGAAAAAAAAAACATTAAAAGACATAAAGAAAAAAAAAACTGATACAAAAACCTAGACATATATGTATATATACAGTATTTAAGACAAAACGAATATTGTTTCTTAACGAATTGGTTTCTTGTCTTCTCGTTTAATAACTTGTTCTTTCAAATCAAGTTCTTCAAAATCGGATTTTAACCAATCAAGCATATCCGAAAAAATAACAACACCATTAGCCGATGGATCTGATACAGCTGGTAATGGTCGTTGACTACTAAGAATTTCCGTATCATCATCATCATTTTCAATACTATTTTCATTATTAAACATATTTTCATCATAATCAAGACAATTTGATGCATATTGTTGTGCATGAATTTTATAATGATTTTTCATTCGATAGGCTGATGGTATATATTGTTTGCATATTGAACAAACACGTCGTTTTAATTCTTTTCGTACACTTGAACAACAATAATCAAATGGTAATATATCATTTTGTGTATGTTGCATAACAACACCATGAAATTGTATACGTTGAATTAATGAACCATAAAAAATACCTTTTTGATAATCACGTTCAGCCATTGCAATACCACGTGGTGTACGTTCAAATGCAATTGGTGCTGGAAGAAAACGATGAGGAAATATTTGTATATAATTTGAACGCCATGGACCACAACATGTTATTGAATTACAACGAACTATTTGAATTGTATATTGTGTTTGAAGAACATGTGTTGCGCACCAATATCTAAGAAACAAAAAGAAAATTGAATAAAAAGGAAAAAAAGATTTCTATTGAAATTCTTACTCATCAAGATCATATTTTGGCCCTTCTCGTAATAATTCGCCATCAGTTGTAATACGTGGTGCACGAACTCTTTCTTGATAATATTCATCAGTTTGTCGAATGCGACGTTCAATTGGTTCTTCAGCTTCTTCTTCTTCGCATACACTAGAAGAATTATATATGTAGAAGAATTATTTAAAAAAAAAAACTAATCTTACCGATCTAAAATATTATTCATAATAAGATTAACATCAATTATACGTAATTCTTCTTGAGATGATACTGGTGGGTCAATATATTCAGCTACAACAGGATATTCATCAATAACTGAACCACACCAAACTTCAGCTAAAACTTCTCCAGCTTTTTTAAAATTTGTTCGTTCTAATTCAGGATTAACTGTAACACCAGAATCATTTAAATGTGTACCAAAATGATCATGTGGTAAAATTAAACCAGCTAAATCATGTGATAATGGTGCCATACGACGTTCAACAACATTATAAGCTGATTGACCTGGTGCATGTGTAAGAACAAATAAAGCATCTAAATTATATTTACGAAATTTTCTTATTGCAGCAACAAGTGTTTTAGGAAAACGTGGATTTTCATCTGGACCACCATCAACTGTAATAATAATGATTGGTTTAATTTGTCCTGTATAATCTCGTACTGATTTTTCAAATTCTTTAAGTCCAACAAGACGATCAAAATCACATGCATGACTATTAGCATCACTTCGATCGTGTTTAGCTGAACGAATAGCTATATAAGTTGGACCGGAATAACCAACATCATTATTTTCATTCATCATACAAGCAGCATAAACACTGAAGAAAAATGAATGATCATCCTTTTCTTTTTTCTTATAGAACATATATATTTACCTTGGTGTTAATTGATGGCGAGGAGCAACAGTCCAGTCGTGATCGGGTAAACGAACACGATAATCCAAATGCATAAGCATGGGTGCTTGAATTTTTGCTGCCGGTAAACCAATAGGTACTTTACATTTATCATCTTGTGATAAAAATAAAACAACATCATTACCAAATATGCCAGCTAAATCTTTAATATAACGAATTGTTGCTGTTGCAAAATGACCATCTGAAAAAAAAATTAATAGATAAATTTTCTTTTTCACAGCAGTGCCCTAAGACGACCAAATTGGGTGAGAAAGAGGAGTGTGACTACTGACGATGGGGGGGGGGGGGGGGACACAGGAAGAGGAGAAACGGTCATGAATTTCAAAGAAACAAACCTTCGTGTTTGCCATGTTCATCGTTTAGAGCTTTTCGAAGACGAACAGGAACAGTTCGAACATGTTTTTTTCCATCCACTGAATTTATACGATGAGGTAATAACCTATTTAATAAAAAAAAATTGCTAATATTTATTCAAGATTTAAAAATAAATAATTACCGATAATAAAGTGTTGATCGTTTAATATCATAACCACGTTCTTTAATTTTTTCACGTAAATCATCTAATGTTAAACAAGGACGAATTGTTTGTGAACGTCGATTATCATCAGCAGCACCACCAACTTTTGCAATTTCTTCTATAATTTGTAATAAATCTGGACATTCTTCTTCGATTGGTGGTCGTCCAATAACAGGTCTATAGATTTTATTTAATTCTGCAGCCAATTCAGGATTCTTTTCACATAATGCTTCAATTTTACGCTGAAAAAGAGAAAAAAATATATAAATAATTTTTTATATTGATTTTTAATGCTTTTTTCTACCTTTTTAATTTCTCGATAACGTTTTTTTGCTGCTTGTTCAGCTTTAAGTCTTTTTAAATCGTTTGATTTTTTCTTTTGTTCAACCAAAAGTTTTTTTAATTGTTTTTCCTGTTCATTAGTTGCCATACCCATATTTTTAACTTGAACTAATTGTATAATACGTTCATTAATTTCATGAAGTTCTTTCGAAACTTTGTCTTGTGCTGGTGCTTTAGATTTTTTAGCAAGAATTTCAGCTGCTGTTCGAATTTTTTCTTGTTTTGGTGGTGGTGATGATGAATCTGGATCAAAATCTGGATCGGATGATTCTTCTCGTTTCTTACGTCGTTTTGTAACACGACCACCATTCTCAAATTCAATTGTTGGTTCACATTTTTTCTTACGTCCTCGATTTTTCTTTTTTGGTTCATTTTCATCTTGTTGATCAAGATTTAAACCAGATGTACTACTTGAACGATATTTTTCAAGATATGTATCGATTTTTTCTTGAACATGTTTTTCATTAGATTTAAGTTGATTCCATTCAGATTGAGCATCCGAATGTGATACCTGAAATAAGAAAATATAAGAAAATAATATATGGATTCATTTATTTTTATCTTACACTTCGAGTTTTTTCAGAATGTGCTTTCATATAAGCATCAACAAAAGTACGATACAAAGAGTAACGAGCAGTTGTTTTACGTGCTGGCATAGTTAGTGTATGTAAGTGTGTGTGTGTCTGAACTTAGTAAAAGTGGTAAATGAACGAAAGAAATAAAATTGTTCAGTAGAGAAAAAGAAAAAAAAGGACGTCGGAAATAAATTCTGACCGCTTCATGACCTCCTCCCTGTAAATCTATGCACGTCCCGTCGTCGTTGATCATTTTTAACCAACCAAATGTTGACCGATTGTATATATGATATACATCCTTTCTGTTTCTTATGGACGAGGGCAAATGAGAAATTGTGAACGATTGACCGACGTCCAGGGCAACTATATGTAAAACAGAAAAAATTATTCTTATCAGTTAACCTCAGCTGTCTCGTCCTTTACGAATGATTTTATTTGTGTTGCTTGAATTTATTTTGAACTCTCTTGTTTGTAAAATAACAATACAGAACACAAAAAGAAAAATTGAAATAAAATAAAAAGAAAGTTTTAAGAAGGGGGTTGAGCTTTATAATCCAATTTTGATTCGAGTTTTTTGCTTTCGGCTACTTTGCGTACTGCTTTTGAAAAATCTTCTTCTTGAACATAATCTCGTTCAGCACGAATTGCAAACATGCCAGCTTCGGTACATACATTTCGCATATCAGCACCATTAAAACCATCGCTTAATTTAACAATAGCTTCATAATCTAAACAAAAAGATTATTTGTAATAAATACGGGAAAAAAAACAAAAACTGATATAAACAACAGCTTAGTAGTACACTATTAATGATTAAATTGGTTTTATTTGATGAAACAACTCAAGTCATTTTTGTAGCTCTACATGAGAAGTGAGTAATCAAGAACAACGCACAATAAATTCAGATTTGTTCAACGTATTCTTCTGAGTTAAATGATAGCTGAGAAGAATATTTTTGAGTTAGTTTAACTGACAATATCTAGAGTAAAAGTTAGAGAATTGAAACCGTTACGGGTAATACAACTTTTTGAGCTCTATTTAATCTGAAAATTTGAATTAAATCAGGATAGCCGTTCATGAATTATAGACCAAACAAATTTAAAAATGTCACTGTACAAAACGAGTGAATATAACTACTTTTGATGTATAAATTTATTTGAAATTTTTTTAAAATAAATGATTTTCAACCCTTCTGACCATATATCAGAAATTTATAACAGTTTGAATATGCGAGTGCCACACTTTGGTCCTTCCTGGCACCGTAATGACAAATTTATTTTTTTAATTAAGTGTTTCCTAGCCCACAGAAATGATGATTTGAGTTACTGTACATAAAAAAGAAAAATTCTCTGTTATCAAATGTCGAGAGCAAACATATAACGA